ACTTTAAAAGATAAAAAAAAAAAAAACCCACACAGAAAACTCAGAGCAATGGAGTATCTTGAACTTCCATGCATTTCTTTTTGAAAATTCATACTTAAGAAAATGAAAGGACCAAACATATTAAAGCCCTTGAAGGCACATCAGTGCAGTTTCATGTTAGTGCTTAGTGCATGTTTGATTTTTTTTTTTAATCAATGGGTTAACTTAGCATTTTATTCGCCAAAATACAGGCATTAAAAGACTTCCACTGTCAGAGCATAAACCTAATCCCATTAAAACTCTCCCGACTGGGGAGACAATTAAATCAGTTGCAGACTTAGGGCACCAGCACAACGAACCTAAGGCAAGATTTATAGCAACGCCATCTCTATATATTCCAGCTAGAGCAAACGTACACGGAGAACCTGCTCCCTGCACAGTCATACCTGCAGGGCTAGATGCCAGGAATTTTCTTCATCCCACAAAGCCCTTTCAGGACCAGCAACGCCTGGTTATACTGCTCCCAACACAGACTTGGGTCTTCCAGGCTTGTTCAATACTCAGAGAGTCCTGAGCTTGCAGGACTCATTTTCTTTTGCTATTAAACAATTGAGAAACAATAATTATTTGGGTTTTCCTCACATGCAGGCTGATCAGGAATCTGAAGACAGAATATATCTCATGATTATCTCAAATAAATGATAGAAGCCAAGGCAAAGACCACTGGTCCTGTCTCCTGACATCAAGGGCACTACGCTCTGGGTTTCTTGCTTCCCACAGCCCAAGTCTCCCCCAACTGCAAACCAGCTGCCAGCCGTGAATGATGCTGGACTCTGGGGACACGCTTCCTGTTTGAGATGCCGGCGGCTCAAAGCTGCGGCCACTAAAATTAGCACCAAAATTTGTGCATGCTTGTTTTGTTTTGTTTCCCTCCGAGTTTATGAAAAGCCCAGGCTGGCACGCTGTGACCTCCAGGCAAGTTGATGGCATTGCAAGGAGGAAGCTGTGCTCTGCTGAGCTGTCACTGCCGTGCACGTTGTCCCTACACAGCACTGTTTGCATACACACAAACTGAAAAGCACAAAGTGCCAAACACAGTTGCAGCATGTCAAGCATATGTTGCTTGATGTTACCCAGCATTAAGCCAAGTGGAAGAGACGAAAGCAGCAAACTGGTGTACCAACCAAGACAATTACATTCAAACAGTCATTAGAAAGAAATTACCAACGAAACAGAGCAGGGCTGATGCTAAGCACCGCGTACTCCCAGGGAAGCCAACCTGAGCGCGGGCGCTTGGCCCCCCAGCACCAGCCTAGTGCAGGAAATGTTTCATGGGCTCCGTCATGCTTCTCTGCATGAGGATTTGTCTTGTTGTTTGTTCAAACGAGAAAGAAAGATGGAGAGGTGGCAATCCTGAGTGTTTGCTGTGGAGTGCAGCTGCTTACTGCTCTTTCCTGTAATGCCAAACATCCATTTCATCACAGACCAGCTGCAAGAGTAACTGGGGTCTTTAGGATTTTGATCTCATCCCTCAAACCGTTAGTCATTTGTCTGCAAAGCCTATATGAAAAGCAGAAGTGTGGTAAGAATATTCTAAAATTGTTATTTTTGTAGTTTCACTAGCATTTCTTTTTGCCTAACATATTCTGAAGGTTTGTCAAAACAAGGCAAAAGAATTACCTGGATGCCTCCTCCCCTAGGTATTTTTTTTTTTTTTTTTATGATTTTAGGGGTCATTTGGTAAGGCAAAATAATGAAGGTTTCACAGTATTTCAGCTCACAGGTGGAAATGTTGTGACAAGGACCGTTACAGCTCCCTGAGGTGCAAATAAAATAAAGAAATATAGTCACAAATATAATGACTTTTAGCTTTGTGTAGCTATCTTCAAGGTTTGATATACACAGATTTTATGACAATGAATGGATTTATTGGAACTGTAAACGTCCAGGTACGTTGCAAATTAATCGCGCAGTTGACATGGGGAACAGCACAGGAGTTTGCTACAGAGACCCTCTTGCTGTTGTCTTTCTGGTACAGGTTATTGATTCAGACACCTCTGGAGCACAGCTGAAGCACTCCCAAAGCTGGGTTAGCTCTAAAAGCAGCCTAGTCACTTTTAGATGATGGAAAGCCCATGATAGTAATTTCTCCTAGATCCAAGATGGTTTCATGACCAATTTCATGACCTTGTTGGCATGTCCAGAGACAAAGGACCCAATAGAGTGGGCTGATCTCAAGGCAGGCCAGGACAACGTCTTCTACTCCGCATTACGCTCTATGGTGCTTTGAGGTCCTAGATGGCCTGTTAATTTGGCATGGCTCCATGGCAGGGATTCCTGCAGGCAGCTCGGGCCAGGTTTGTAAGCTCTCCCAGGACCTGAAGCAGTGGAGAACACGGTGCAGAGCAGCCCACGTGGCTCTGCAGGAATTGCACGAGTTTGGCAGGGCTTCGGGGACACAGCTTAGGGCAGGCAGCCTCCACCTGGACGGCCGCAGTCAGTCTGGTGAATCAGCACAACGTTCCCCGGGCTCGTATTAGCCACGTTTTTCCATTAACAGGAACCTCACAGCTTCCATGAGCCGTGATAGCCGAGAGGTACCTGTACTGCAGGGGGGCCGCTGACTCTGTGCTCCTTGCAGAGGTGCAGCCTTTCTCTGAGCAAGACAGCAACACCCTGCGGTGGAGAGTTGTGAAACAGATAAAGCAGGTTTGTGAAATGAGAAAGAAAAGAAAATTAAGCACTCAGGATAGACCAGCACAACACAGCTGAGGTACCAACCGGCAGGTCTCCAGCACAAGGCAATTCCCAAGTTAGTAACTGGATCATCATGTCTTTTAACACTGCATGGTCTGTTTTCCGTTCAGTGCTTGCAACTGCCATTATCATTAATGGGCACGCACATGTGCCTTGAGGGGAAGAACATCCTCCCTGTGCGGCTTAAAACTTGCTTAGAAATCCCTCAAAAAATCACTTGGTATTCACCGTTCTGCACAGAAAGCTATTAAAGCAGCTACATGAACTGGTGCTATCCTTCTTCCTTCCCCCTTGTCTTCCCTTATCTGAGGGACCAGTAAAGAGACCCCAAAAGATGAAGGGCCCTAAGCAACCCAGCCATGGGAGCCTCAATCCAAGCTCCAGCTCCCTGCAGCTGCCTTGCACGAGCGGATGCACTGCTGGGCCCACAACATTCCCGCAGCCAAACCAGGCCACGTGGCTCTGGGATGTAGGGCTAAACAGATGCAAAGAAGTGCTGTTTTCTAGCGGGGACTGCACTTGTGCGGTGCTGCTGAAGGCTCTGTGTCCGTCTCGGTGCCTCTCAGACACACAGGCAAACAGGGTGTCCAGGAGCAAAGCCTGGCCCTAGCTAGTGGGGCTCTGCCTGCAGCAGGCAGAGGTGAAAACATCTGTGCTAAGGAACCTATGACGTGCCTAATGCAAAGGATTTTGTTTCTAAGTTTATTTTGATGAATTATTAGCCATGTTAGGAAATAAAAGAAAATCCGAACTATGAAAAAAAACAAGGAAAGCTCCGAGTCCCTTTAATCCAAACCTTGTTTAGCGAGAGCAGCAGCAGCTCAAGTTCACAGCGTGCAGCGGCTGCGGGGCTGCCAGGAAAGCTGCCTGCAGAGGAGCCCCGCTCCAGCTCCGGCTGCCATCTCCCATCTGGACTGGAGGAAGGGCTCCCGGGGAGCCCCGTGGGCTGCGCAGCCGGGCGCAATCCCGTCAACAAGAAACTGCTTCAGGCTCTGACCCCCACCCCTTACATGGCTTTATTACTTCCTTTCTCTATAGAAGGGGGCACTGAAAGCACAGTAATTAAATTCCTGCCTTTTCTCATTAAAGAGCATCCCAGGATCAGCAAGAGAAACGCTTTCTGTGTTGAAATCAAATCACCCTTTCAGTTCGCTTCTCACTTCCAAGTGCAATGCAGGGGCACAGTTACATTCGTTTGCTGTTCCTGTGGGGCTCGAAAGCTCTGCCCAAAAACAGGCTGCTTTTCTAAAAACGGCCTTCAGTGGGTGCACACGAGGTAGCTGCGGAAGTGGAAAAGGAAAAAACGAATTCTAAGAGGGGGCCAGAGCAGGTGTGGAAAACCCCACGGATTTGAAGGCAAGGAGAATCCGGCCTTCGGCTGGAGCTCGCTCTTCCACGCCAGGTTGGGAGGACGGAGCTGGGAGGCGCCGAGGGAAGCGCCGAGGGAAACGCTATCCTGGAGGGAAGCACCAAGGGAAGTGCTATCCCAGAAGGAAGAGCTACCCCAAGGGAAGCGCTACCCGGCAGCAGCACAAGCAGGCAAGGCTGGGAGAGGTCCCTGCGACCCACAGCAAGAACTTCACACTCCCACAGATCTGGAGGCAAGAGCACTTACAAGAAACACACAGTCCGGGTTGCTGTTACTGATGCTATTTCTGCTTTGAGAGGGAGGAAAGGTCTTTCCAGCTCATAACCAAACCTCTCCTACTGCTTATTTATGTACTTGCACTCAAAACATCATAACCTTTTGTTGCAGTGGTTGTTACAATGTGATGGGTTCAATACATCGACTTTTGCACGATCAGGAAAAGAACAAAAGCTACCATCAACAGCTGTCTTGGTCTGCTTTTTCTTTTAAACTGGATCACTACCAAAACACAAAAAGTAAACACGTGTTTAATCAAAAAAAAAAAAAAGTGGTGAGATTGTCCGTGGCTGCCTGGGAAATATGGCAAATTCCAAGTCAACTTTTCCAAGATTCCTCGTAACACAGTTGATACTATAGTTTGAATTATTCTGCCCTAGCAGGGAGCACAGCTGGGCCCACTGCCGGGAAGAAGGCAATTCCAGCATGGCAGAAAGGAAGGCACACTGCACATTCATAAGCAAATGCAAGTTTTAGCAAAATGCAATATGATATCATCTCCTATACAATTTTACCATTACATGGTATTTCCTTGCTATAGAGTTTCACAGCCAAGCATTCTCTTCAATAATTTCTGACTTTGATTTCTTTGTTGAGGAGAATCATTTGAAGTATTTACCTTCAGTCCTGTCCGGCAGTTTCCCACTCTTACTTGTTGTTCCTGTATTGACCGTTTCAGACGAGGTGCTCAATTTGGTGTTGGGGTCTCGCTTCGGTTTTGGTGGTGGCTGCTTTCGAGAGCTGCTACTTTCATCATCAGTTCCTCCAACAGAATGGAGAGACTGGGATCTCACGGTGAAGCCACTGGAGCAAGGATGTGGCAGTCTGTCCTGAGGAGCAGGCATTGTCATAAATCCCATGCGGAAATGTTTTCCCACGTAGCTTCCTTCATTTCCTCTTACTACTTCTCCACCTATGCTGTAAGAGAAGACATGCACACAAGTAAATGATCCACCTCTGCTTCAGTAGCACCGAGAAGTAGGTCTTGGTTTCATCTGCAGCTTGCTGGAATTGGGATATACAGCAGCCATCATCTGTAACAGCTTAGTGTACACATACATGACTTTTTTGGATTCTTTGCTATAGCAACAGATGACTATAGGAATATAGGGAGAGAAGTGATTACCAGACTTCCTTTTTATTTTTTTATTTTTATTTTTTTTCCCCTTGCTTTTCTATTTGCCAGTTTTTTGTGGCTGCTGCCTTGTGGCAAAATAGCAGAAAAAGAACATAACCAAATTCTAAGGTCACTACAACTTCAGTGATGTGGATCCCACCCTTATTCCAGATATGTCCAGACTATTCATCAGGTTTCTTTTCCCACAAGCCACAAAACACTTCTCAGTACAAAACATACGAATATAAAAATTCACACCAGGGTGTGACCAAGTCATCCCTGCAGGGAAACTTGAGGGGCAAAAGCATCCAGCTAATACTAATGAGGGGACATTCTTCAGTGCAGTGGAAGAATACTTTAAAAATTTCTTTCAGATTCCCCACTAATTGGACACCAAAACATCTTTTGCAAACTTTTGTGTTTATAACTGCAGAATTCTCTGGTGTTGATTCCTTCCATAGATTTATCAAGTGTCATCCCATCCTCCCCCATACGCATTGCTGGAGATCTCTGGAACGGAGTTGAGGAGCTTCACTCCTCTGACGGCTACAAATGTCCCGCTCCTTTCCAGGCTAAGGATGTCCTGACTGTAACATTACAATTTACCTTCAGGTCAGTCTTCCCCATTGCTGATATTTACATCCCCATGACAGCAAAAGTATTAATGAAAGAAAATTTTAATCTTGCAATTTTTCCTTTGTAAACAAGCAATGCTCTTTTCTGCTCTTAAAACAGGATGACTATTTGAATTGAGCAGTCTGTTTTTCAACAGAATTGAACAAAATTACCAGTAGCCGAAATGCAGATACATGGCTATGCACTCAAAATTTTACAAAGAGAAATTGAGAAAAGGGTTCTACTCAAGCTTCGTACCACTGCGACTAGAAACAACCTACAGAACAAATCTGAAACATCAAAAGGCAGGGCTGAGTTTTTAGGAAAATGCGATTACTGGTAGGGCAAAGAATACAGCTGTAGAAATGCTGCATCATGTATTGATCTGCACTCCCCCTGCTCATCTCTGACTGCAGACATACATGTATCTGAGGAGATAAGGCTCTTGGGCTGCAATCAATCATCCCCCTTCAGACCAAATCACGGTAAGGGAGAAACACTCCAAAAACTACATGGATACAGGAAACTGAACATCAGCATCTCATCAAATCCCCATGAATGTGCAACACGAGCAGCGCCAGACTGGTAAGACACAAGTGCAGGCGATGGGAGGGCAACGGGCTGGACAGCAGCAGGAAACACCCCGCGAGCGCCCGGCGCGCGGGTGCGGAGCAGGGGCGCTCGGCGAGGTGAGGCGGTGGCTGCGTCATCGGGTGCCCTCTGCGCTGCGCAGCACGATGGGGCACCCGGCACCGCCTCCGCCCCGGCGCCAGCCCCGCGCCGTAAACCCACGGCGCGAGGCAGCTTGGGCGACTCGGTCGCCACACGCAGCGCTCGGCTACACGCGCAGGTCAACAAGGGCTCTGTTTACAAGGGCGTTTGAAACGGTGTCACTGTGGGCGTGTAGAAATGTCACTGTGAGAACTGCAAAGTCCTGGAAATCCCTAATTGCCTCCTGCTTCCCCTTCGCATAGAAGGAAGCAGGGTCAGTCTGCTCTGCAAGCCGCCTATCTGATGTTGCCTTGGGCTGGTGCCATTTATTTGGTGCTGAACACATCTCCTCCTCTAAAAGACAAGAGCATTTCTCAATGGTTCATTTGAAGAGTGAGTAAGGTCACTGCATTCCCCGATACTGCCCCCAGGAGACAGTAAATCTTCATCTTTTTTGCAAGGTACAGGCACACGCTCTCTCCTCACCCCCACGGATCGGGGCTGTGCGACGCAGAGCTTCATGCCTGATAAAGCACAATCTTTATGAGCTACTGAGGTCTTGCCAAATTGCTCACAACCAAGCAGGTCTCGCTGAACACGTCCCACCCTCTGGAGGGCACTGACACTCACCTGCACGGCCACACGCACCTGCACACACCTGCACAGTCACACACACGTGTGCACACACCAACCCTAGTCTACAACCAACCTATTACCGAATTCTAATTGAACTCAATTCCAGAGGGATTTACAGCCAGAAAGATCAAAAGGTAGAACTCATTAATTTGAAGATTAAAAACCTGTAGCTAATTTAAATGATTAACTATGCCTCTACTAATCTTTCATAAATTGTTCTGAAAATAATATAATCCTCTGATGCTACAGTACAAAGAAGTGCCTGTCACATTATTTAAAGAAGATTACTATCCAAACATGGTGAAACTGCAGGTGGGGAATCTGCTTCCTTCCCTAAGCCCACTGTACAGTAAGACCTGTACAGCAAACAATGTCAGCTCTCCATGTGCTTGATATGTTATAATTCTTATCAGACTGCTCCTTAGTGCATTTACTTCCCTCCTCCTCTGCGGTGGTATTTGGGCAGCTTTTGCCCTGGATACACTTACACGAATTGCCCTGAGGTGACGGGTTTGACCCTTTGCTGTGAGTACACAGAACTGTGTTCACATGAAATGTGTTTTCACTGAGCTGTTGCATCTTATATTTCATAAATACAAAAATATCTAAATAAAAGAACAGTGTTTAAAAGCACTAATTCAATATACCACTGATTTACATTTTTTCCTCATTCCCTCCCTCTCCATCATTGCTTTTTTCATTCTTTGTTGAATTTCTTTCAATACCTGAGATGAAATCCCCCCCTTTGCTCACCTGCTCACTACACTCGCTCCAAAGCAAGCAGCCTATCAGCCACCCAGAGGGAGCAGTTGGCATGCATGGGAGCAGATCTTGCTCTTCTAATTGATGGCTGAAGTAGATCTGGCCTCGTTCTCCAACGCCCTCTGGTCAGCTACTAACACAAGGACACCACTTCCTCCTTTTCCAGCACATTGGAGAGTCCACGTCACTCTGCAGGGTATAGGAGCTGATCTTCAGCTGACGGTTATGCACCGTAAACCCCAGGATGATGAAGACCAGCTTCTGAACCTTGGTCCTGGACCCTGGTCATCATTCAGGGTCACAGAAGGTTTATATTTGTGACTTCTGCATCGGGTGAGTCCTGAGCAACAGCAGTGAGTGCTTCCCACCACAGCATGACTAATAAAGGTAGCACTAATCAGAGAAGCACCAAAATTCATACCTCAGCAATATGGACTGATCACATCAAATGGGTCAATCCATCATTTCCAAGAGAAACAAGTCTCTCCAGACTCACCCGCAGGTGACAAGCAGGTGATAAAGGCAGGATGGCAGAAGCGAAGCAGGACACCCTCTCCAGCAGCAGGACGTCAGCGGGAGCCTTGGACAAGGGGGTGCAGCTCTGCTCTGCTCGCGGTTCATCGAGGAAGCGGCAGAACTAAAGGGTTTACTTAGCAGGATGTTCCTCCTGCTCATGACTACAGGAGTTGTCCGGGGTTGGTATATGTCCCACTACCACACAACAGCCTCAGAAAAGATTTATAGGCACCTTGCTGCATAAAGGAGTATATAGAGCGCTAGGGGAAATAATTGTGTAGATGATCTTGCTCCATTATTTCTGACAGCAAAGAGCCTGCACTCTTCATTGTGCTGATAATGAGCTCTATCTCATTTCAAAACTGTATTATATGAGTTGCTGTAATTATTACACAGTTTATTAATATATATGGAAATACAGATTTGGATTATTCCTCTGGGAAGTTTCAGTTTGAACTTGGCTAGGTTCAACTGCTTCTCTGACAAGGAATAATATACAGCAGTAAAGTAACTGTTAAAAATGAAACAGACATTTGCCTACAAAAAAGACCTGAATTATATAATAATAAAGTTAATCACACAATCACTCATGCTACACACTTGAAGCAAAAGTGACTTAGTGCTAAAGAAATATGTTGGCATCTGGCTAGGTACAGTGACCTAAGTTTCAGTAAAGGGTAAAAAGGTGCAGAGCAAGGTTTCCCCCAGACACCCCTAAGGAAGTATGTTCTGAAGCAGCCTTGCCTTGAAAAACACATTACTTGGCTTTTCCAAAGTTCACCTAGAATCCCCTTTAAAGCCACTAAGCGCCGGTTTAGGTACTTGGTGCCCTGGAAAGAAGGGAGCTTCCCAACCACCTCCTGCCTCTACACGGTGCTGGACGTCAGTCACTTCCTCCGCCGGCAGGAACGGGGCTGGGGGTCTCCGCGGGTGTCCCAGGGAAAGGAGGAGACCCCCACGCTACAGGGCTAACTGCACACGGGGGTGCGAGGCGCTTCCCCGGGGGAGGGAGCAGACGGCGTGGACCTGCCAGCGTCCTCACGCGACACATCCATCGAGAGCGCCGGGGAAGCCATCTTGCCCAGAAAGGGGAGAGGAATTAGCAAAATGAACTTGGGTGACGTAGGAAGATCTACGAGTCCTTCACAAAAATGACTAATCAGCACCACAAATGTGAAAGGGATAGAAATAATCGACACAAGGACTGTATATGAGCTGGCTATGGATGCTGTTCTTACTGAACAAACAGCAATTCATCCCTTTGTGTATCAAGTCTTTTTTGGGTAAGAAAACAGCTACTGTAATTTTACCTTTTTTTAACCACTTGCTTACTCCTGTGCCAATGAACCTCCAGCTCCTCTGCTCATATCACACGTTCTGAGCATAAAGGGCTGAAATGGCTTTGAAATGTCTATTCTCCATCAGAATAAATTATACACATATATACCAAGGATGACACATTTTACTTTGTATCTCAGAAGCACTTTCAAGATTAGCATAAATTATATTTGTAAATTAGAGGTTGGATGCCAAAAAAACAGAAGATATACTATTTTTATCC